AAAAGTAAATCACACAAAATTATTCTTTAATTGGCCAGAACCTGTTTAAATAAATATTCACTGTTCAACATTAAAGTACTTTCATGAAGTGGAAAATTCACTATTTTAAATACCTTTAAAATATTTAATGCTGTGGGGAATCCTACCATCATACCACAAAGTGGATACAAAGTAGAATTTTAAATTGTATGCTCTCATTTATACATTAACTGAATGTGTCCCAGACCCCATCTTCCTTTGTATGCTCACTAAAGGTGTGTCTGATCTCAGTTAGCAGGCTTTTTCTGCCTGAGAAGTGAAGGGCCCCTGATATATAGCATTTGCCAATAACACCATGGTCAATCTTATTTTCTTACTTAAATAAATTTTTCCACTGAACCCAGAATGTGGGCTCTTAACTTGCCAACCAGGGTTTGGCATCCTGTTTTACATCCTCTGCAGTGTAAGTGAGGAGTCCACTAGACCACTAGGGAAGTCTTTCACTAGGGTCAATTTTATTTATTTTTTAAAATATTTATTTTTGGCTGCATCGGGTATTGGTTGCCCTATGGCATGTAGGATCTTAGTTTCCTGAACAGGGATCAAACCTACATCTCCTGCCTTGGAAGGCAGATTCTTAACTACTGGACCATAAGGGAAGTCCCCCCATGATCAACTTTTAAACTGACAATATGCTGTCATTAAACAGAGTTGGAAAGAAATGGGTATAATCAGCTCTTGAAAGATAGAATGAGCTGGCTCCAATGACTACTGCCTGCATCCCACTGTTGGAAGTTTCACAATAGAACTGCTGGGAGTCTGATTCTATCATTCTTCCAAGTTAACTAGAATCTTCTGTCGAGACAAACCAACAACACTCAGAAGGCTAGAACAGGACATGTTCAGTCTAGTCTCACACCAAATCCTGAGCCATCTTTTTTTCTAAGGCTGATCCTATCCAAACTGTCCACACTAACAGTGATTTTTTTTTTTTAAACAGATCCCATTATCTCTCCTTGTAGTCTAGCTTCAATAAGATCCCCTTATCTGTCTGTAGTGTCTGTATTTTCTGGACGACAAGGGCTTACCTGGTGGCTCAGATGGTTAAGAATCCTCCTGCAGTGCAGGAGACTTGGTTCCATCCCTGGTTTGGGAAGATCCCCTGGAGAAGGAAATGGCAACCCGCTCCAGTATTCTTGCCTGGAGAATCCCCATGGACAGAGGAGCTTGGCAGGCTACAGTTCATGGGGTCACAAAGAGTCGGACATGACTGACTAAGAACGGCACAATTATGGTCACAATTCAGGAGTTTTCTGTCTTGGGACACACTCAGATGTCAATCAAATGTGGACTAAGAAACTTGGGTTACGAGGGAAGGGGATGGCATGAAATCAAACACCACATCTAAGAATCACTAGGATCCACATTTCTTTCCCTCCCCTCAGCTTGCAGCAGTCTACCTTTATAAAATAAGTTTTCCTGGGGAGAGCAGAATCTTTCACCTAAAGCACACATGGACCCTTCCCAGCTCAGCACCTGTGTGCCAATCCTAAAAACACTGCACTAGACCCAAGGTGCATGTTCTGCTTAAGCCACTGTCAGGCAGTCCTCTGGGAGTTATGCCCAAAGGGATTTTTCCATCCCCTCTTTTCTGAGGTCCAACTTTTCCTACCAGATTGAGTCCACCAACTTCCCTTGGTCCTAGACACCCTTTAGGCCTCTCCAGGGGTACAGAAGTTTCAAAGCATAAATAAAGCCATGGACAGCTGGTTTCCCAATCTGAGAATTAGGGTTGGGACCTTATCCTGCATTCAGGAATGGCTATTTATGCATTAGCTTTACAGGGCAAAAACCTCAGTCTGCAGCTCCATGGGGAGGAGCTATTTGGGGATGCTACAGCTTTTGGAATCACACTGAGCATGAGGTTGGTGTTGATGACTTGCAGTACTGCTAGAAGCTGCCGCTGGGACCAACTGGAAAGCTTGGCAACACAGAGGATGTGGGTTCTCAGATCCTCCTCCCACTACCTATTGCTACAGTAAGAAGTTAGGTTTTTGTGTACACCAGCCCTTAGTGTCTTACAACTTTCAAAGACTTCTATCAGACTGGCAAATTTGGCAAGGTTTTCCAAATGAAGCACAGTGCAAAGTAGGGATGCAATACATTTACTATCTGAATCTCCAATATTTTGGCCACCTGATGCGAAGAGCAGACTCACTGGAAAAGACCCTGATGCTGGGAAAGATTGAAGGCAGAAGGGGACAACAGAGGATGAGATGGTTGGATGGCATTACCGACTAAATGGACAGGAGTTTGAGCAAGCACCAGGAGTTGGTGAGGGACAGGGAAGACTGGCGTGATGCAGTCCATGCGGTCACAAAGAGTTGGTCACAACTGAGTGACTGAAAAACAATGTTTATAAAATGAGTGAAGGATGGTGTGCACAATCTTCTGAGACTGATCTTCTGAGAAAGAACTCTTGAAGATTTCTAAAGTAAATCCTGAGGAACTTCTTGGAGCATTATATATTCTAGTATTGATATAATCTTTCCTCAGTCTTTCCCTGTGTAGTAAGTTATCATTTGTTGCAAGATTTAAGGCTGTTAAAACTGTTATAGGGAATTCCCTGGCAGTCCAATGGTGAGGACTCCGTGCTTTAACTGCTGAGGGTCTTGGTTCAGTCTATGGTTGGGGAACTAAGATGACGCAAGCTGCATGGTGTTGCCAAAACAAAAACACTTTTATGAGATACATTTAGCAAAACTTCCAAAAAATGTTACCAGGAAATAACTGTCTTAAGAAATATAAGCAAGCACACAGTAGCCTCAGAAACCCGTAGTTCAACCCAGTTATTTATTTAGTGAAGCAGTTCAAACATTTTTGGCTAGAATTTAAATTACATGCAGGAAAAACAAAAAAAGTTCCTTCTGTATGCAGAAAGCAAATAATGTATTCCCAGTATGAAAGGGTCTATAAAAATATTTCGCTAAATATATCTTGCAAGACAGTCAAATGGATTCTGGTCCTTAGCTACACTACTTTATGAAGGCAATGGGAGTTCTTCACCACATCTGCAAGCCACAATGACTAGAAACACGTGCCAACATTTCTTCTTCCCTATTTCTCTGGGTTTTTAAGTTTTTGCTTTTTATTACAAGAGGTGTAAGTTTGCCTATGTTCCTGGGTCATAGGAAACAATGGGAACAATGATGGGGAAAAACAATGTCAACAGTGACAGACTTTTATTGTTTTGGACTCCAAAATCACTGCAGATGGTAACTGCAGCCATGAAATTAAGACGCTTGCTCCTTGGAAGAAAAGCTATGACCAACATAGATGGCACATTAAAAAGCAGAGACATTACTTTGCCGACAAAGGCCCATCTAGTCAAAGTTATGGTTTTTCCAGTAGTCGTGTATGGATGTGAGAGTTGGACTATAAAGTTGAGCACCAAAGAATTGATGCTTTTGAACTCTGGTGTTGGAGAAGACTCTTGAGAGTTCCTTGGCCTGAAAGATCAAACCAGTCAATCCTAAAGAAAATCAACCCTGAATATTCACTGGAAGGACTGATGCTGAAGCTGAAACTCCAATACTTTGGCCACCTGATGTGGAAGAACTGACTCATTGGAAAAGACCTTGATGCTGGGAAAGACTGAAGGCAGAAGGGGACAGCAAAGGATGAAATGGTTGGATGGCTAACTGAACTGGGTCATAGAGCAAGTCCACTTCAGACATATGTGCCACCAATGGGCGAGTTTCAGGAACATCGATCACGAACCAAGTGTGTTCTGGCAGCTTCCAAGTGGACCACTCATCTACTAGAAGCAACTAGGTCTCTTGACTTCCCTAGAGGATCAAAGCAAAGAGACTTCTTCCTAAGTCACAGCCTAGCAATAAGGATGAGTAAAGCTGAGTTTATCAATGCCAACCCAGGAACTGCTGTAACACTTTCTCACTCCAACTGGCATTTTTAATAATCTTTATTACTTTTCTGATTCCAATCACAGGATATATACTCAGTACAAAACTTAAAAAAGTCACAGAGGCACTAAAGGAAAATACAAAATATATCTCCACTTTTATTAAAGTTCTCAGAGAAAAGTTAGATGGCACAATAAACAATATATATAGGCTCCACTGAAATCCAATGTTAATTTTGTTTTTCTTCCTGTATTTTTTATTTTGCTGAGCCATTTAGAAGCTGTAGGTATTGTGAGCTTCATCTCTAATCTCTCTCAAGGACAATGGCCTACATAACTACAAGAACAATACCACAGCTAAGAAATCCATTATCACCCAATTTGTTCCATTTTCAAATTTCCAATTGTCACAAGATACACTTGAGTTCTAGAATGTCATACATTCTATATTCACCCATTTCCCCTTAATGTGTAACTCGCTTCTCTACTCCTCTGCTTTCTGTTGGTTGGAAGTCTAGATGTTAAATTCAAGTTACCTTTTTGGGGTGGGAAGGGGCCTACGTGTTGGATCCTTCAAATCATCATCTCCCATCAGGACGCACATACCAGGCTGTCCCATTAGTGATGCCTGGTTTGATCACTTGATTACAATGATGACAGATCAGTCTATTGTCAAGACAAAGAGCTTTACACTTTTCAAGTTTATATAGCAACATCTGAGCACTCCACAAAGATTCTGCTCCTTAGTAGCCTTTTAGGTTTTGCATCCACTGATGATCTTTGACTGATCAGTTATTCCATTAATGGTTCAGGCTCTCATTAAAACACCGAATCCTTTCGTGGTACCTGCCAAGTATGCAGCATGATCTTTGGGAGAAGGGACTGTCTAGGTAAACTTGAGTCACCAGACTGCTCCCAATGAGGCTGGAATATGGTTTGTCAGACTGTTTCAGGCTGGAGCTGCTGGGGAAACATGCTTGTTGAGCGTTGCTTCCAGCTCCATAAACTGAGAAGACTCACCTGGGAAAACCATGAATACAAAGGCCAGATCTAAAGTACCTCCACACTCCAGGGACACAGTGGCAGTTTGGATCTTAGTCTAGTTAAACAAGACCACTGTGGTCAGGCCTGCTTTGCTGATAAACCCAGATTTTATAAAAACAGAAACTGCTGGAAAAGTAATAATAGAGTTGCTGCAAAACTGAAAACCGCTGCCAAGAGAGAAACACATTCTACAAATCACACTGGCATTTAATGCCACTATACATTCACATAAGAAAAAAAAAAAGAACATAAACAAAATGCTGGAAATACACTGTTGATAACTGTGTCGAAAAAGGCAGGGTGGATGAGGTATTAAGGAATGGGGAGACTTCCAAAGTTCAGATTTTCTAGAGAACTCTTCAGATTTCAAAATTTCAAGACCAGAGATAACCATCAGTGACCAACTAGTTAACCAAAATCTGCTTCTGAGAGGGTATTTCAGGATATTCCACTTTTATCTGTAACACAGTTCTGTAATTTCAAAAAAAAAATTTTTTCTGGAGGAAAATGAAACCTTCGTAAGCTGGATGGCAGAGTAAGAATTACACAACGGGGAACAACATAATGAATTACCAAGTTGAAATTTCATTGACTGTGGCCAAAAACACCAAGGCAGAGGTACAGAACAGGAAAAACAGCTTCATGGGTTTCTGTTATTTGAAAACTCCAGGCACATCTGCAGGAGAGCAGCCTAGGGGCCAAGGCGTTCGGAGGTCCAGGAGATGTGAGTGCTGATCCATCGCATCGGCCTGGCCTGGCCACATGTGCTGGTCAGAGTTGGGCCCAGAAGGGTACATGCAAGAAGGGCCTTGGATGACCTGGGGACACCCAGAGTGGAGGAGACTTGCCATGTGGAATTTCAAATCCACGACTCCAAGTTACTGGGGCTGAGCAAAGATCACTTGAATGTTCTCAACAGAAGGCCAACAGTTTACAATCATTTAAAAAGCAACATGCCTTTAAAAGCTAGCTGTCTTTTTTAAAAGTACTCATCTGTGGTAAACAGTACTCATCTATGGTAATCCATTTCTGAGTTAATTTTCTAAAAGGAAAGAATATAGTATGCCTGCAGCAAATACAATGTATAAACCCAGTAAGGCAGCAGAAACATGAACTGTGCAGGCATGTATAACAAGTATGCAGATGTCATTTATTTGGTCCGCAAGTACAGTATAGTTGTATTTGAGTTTTACAAAACATCAAATATAAATAACCTGAAACTGTAACAATACACAAAAATTGGCTTCTTACACAGACATACCAGGCAGTACAAGCTGAAAACTTGAGTAAATTAACAACTGTTTTACATTAATATACATAGTGCCAGTTAACATTTAAAAACAAGTTTCAATGCATAGCACTTGATACTTCTTTGAATCTGTTTCAGTAAGTTAAGAGTATGAAAATGGTTAGATCTAGGCTAAAAATAATTCTTCTTCTAACCAAAAATAAAGGCATAATATTTATAACCAGGTATCAACTTTACTAAACCACAATATTTTAAAACTGTTAAATGATACCTAAGGGTATTTACATTAAAAAGGCAACATGCATTGTGTTGTTTCATCTCATGGACTGGTTATGCACATACTTTGTTCAAAGGGTTTTAAAACTATATTCCTACTTTCAATACAGCATACTGCAATGTTTCTAATAGTTCTAGCAAAATGAATGCTTTCAAAGGGAGCAGAATCATCTTCAAGTCACTGGTGTCAATTTTTTCCCTTTGGAACAAAGGACATAACAAATAACCTGGTTCTGCCCAGAAGGCCTTAATGGAGTAAGAGGTTCTGTTCAGAGGCATTTCTGTTCAATCTAATGCTATAACCTCATCAAGCTCCTCTGTCTGCTCTATGCGTGACCTTTTCGCACTGACACTCTCTTTCTCATCTAGCTTCCTCTTGCGACTTCTTTCGTCTTCACTGATATCAGCATTATTTGAGGGACCTTCTTCATCCGAATCAACTATGAGCACATCATCTTGCTCTTGTGCTTATTTCAGAAAAAAAGGGAAAAAAATGGTTAAAAGTGGGGGGCGACTAGAAGCTCACTAAAATTTTATGTACATGAAAAACTAACTCTTCTAACACACATCAAACTTCAGAATGACTACCCTTAGGGAACGCTTGCTTTATACATTACTTATTTCTGTACTGTTTCACTGTTTTCTGTTACAAGCACCTATTTCTTTCCTAATCAAAAAATTTTAACAAGCATTATATAATTCAGAGGAATGTTAGAGTTCCTTGTTTCTATTTCTCCAACAGAACAGGGGAGGGTGCATATCCTAATATTCGTAGCAGTGATAATAATAATAAACAACAACAATAACAACATATACATAGCACTTACAATGTGCCAGGAACTGTTCTGAGCACTTTGCATATACAACTCATTTAATCATCACAACCACCCTATAAAGAAGATAACATTATTATCCATTTTCCAGAAGAGGAAACGGAGGTACAGAGACTTGCCCAAGGTCACATAGTAGCAGAGGATGGGATCGATTCAAACCCACGAAGTGGGGCTCTACAGTGCATACTCTTAACTTACACTATGGTTGGAATTGTGTCACCCACCCCCGACATTCCACTAAGTCAAAGGCACAGTACCTACCTTACTGCTAGTCTCCAAAACCTACCCACATAGTGGAACCATAAATGCACACTGCAAATTAGGATTTTTGGAAACTACCAGTCCTTTCCTCAAAATAGGATGATGAACCTTTCTATTTGGGCGGGGGGGGGTGCCCACGTGGAGGGGCGAAGGGTCATGAACCCATGGCCCACACACTCTATCTAGACCAGCAGTGTGAACCTCAACCTTTTTGGCACCAGGAACCAACTTCATGGAAGACAATTTTTCCACGGATTGAAGGTGGGAGGGATGGTCTGGGGATGACTCAAGTGCATTACATGTATTGTGCACTTTATTTTGAATCTAATGCCACCACTGATCTAACAGGATACTGAGTTGATGGCCCAGAGGTTGGGCAACCCTCCTCTAGACGATCTCCAAGTTCATCTTCACAACGCTCGGAGAACATCAGAACCAAAGAACCACCATATTCCAAAGAATACCAAAGACACATGGTCAAAGAAATGAAAATAGAGAAGAAAAGAATTAGTTAACTTTTAGTTTCCTGACACTAAAGAGTGAAGAGGTGTGTGTGTGTTTGGGGGGGGGGGGGGCACAGGTAGTGAACATTCACACTGGAGTACAATAAAGCACCAACACCGAAAACCCAGGAAACAGAGCTTCTGATACACTCTACCAAAGTCACACTGGTTCTGAGAAAACTGAAATGCTATACTTACCAAGCATCTGTTCACTCAAAATAGTCAGATGCACTGATTCACTGTCCCAAAAACATGCATACAAAATCCAAAAGTACTACTACTCAGAATGAACCATCTTTATGCACTAGTAAATTGACATTTCCGGTTGTAAAAATAAAAAGTATCCATTTTCTATAAAAATTTTACCCAGTCTTAAATATCTTCATGGGTTATACATCCAAAGTTCCATTAAAACAATGCCGAACCAACACACACCTCTAGTAGTCCTGTGGGTAGTTCTACTTTATGGTCAATGTTCATAAGACAATCAGTTTGTTGTAAACAGTCCTGCTTAGTGGGTGACTGCTGGCTGGGGCTGTGACTCACCTGTGGATGTAGAAGGCTGAGCTCCGTCATCGCTGCCATTGGTTATGCTTTTGGCAGCATCTTCAGCTTGCTTGGGCCCCACTTTTTCTGGGGCATCACCAACAACTTCAAATTCAACATCCTTTCCTAGGTCTTCACTGTAAGAGAATCACGTACTATAACACCGAACCACTGCTGCGACTACTTACAAAAGCAAAGGTATACCAGAGAGAAATTGTCCTCAAACCTCAAAAGGTGTAAACTATATACACACCTTTTTTTTTGGCTTCTGATTTTCAAAGAGTTAAAAAAAAAAAAAGACTACATAATAGATTTTTATGTTATTTGAAGCTATAATTCAAATGGTCAATAACACTGTCCTTTCAATTCAGGGAAAAGATTTTTAACTTTTATAGCTAAAGCAGAAAACTTAAGAGTCAAAAATTGTGAGGCCTGATTTAATTCTTAGGCATTCTTTCTTCAGCTATGTGAAAAGATTCTATACACGCTTTTCTGATCTTGACCAGAGTAATTTAGTGTTTAGGGGCAGAGTTACACGGCTTCTCGGTTTTCCCTCCATCTTCACAGGCAGCACCCTGCTTTTGTAATGAGTTCCCTAAAACACGTACAAAAATTTAATGCATGAAAGTCAAACAAAAGACTTACATGTTATAAGGGGGGTTCTGTTCCCAGAAAGCTAAAAGATATGATAAAAAAGACCCTAATCATGCCTCCTCTTTTAGACACCAACTGATATATTTCCATTTCATCGTACATGTTCTTCCACAACTGGAACACAAGCACACCACTGACATCCAACTGGTGTGTAACCGAGGCCAGAGATCACAACCCAGCAAGACCTATCTCTGACTCACCTGTCTCATTTTATACTATTATCAATAACCCACATTCAGTTTTTCCTGTCCTTTCCTGCTTTTTACAAACTAAGTATATATAATGTAATACTCTTGAACAATTATACAAGTTCTGAATATTTGGGTACAGATGGCAATACTGGCAAAACACGTGCTGCAGATGGCAGCCACTGCATTTGTTAGATATAACCTGAAGAAGTGAGCCAGGGTGAAGCTTAGAGGTATCAATGAGCATGAACCAATCTTGTTCAACAGATGAGCACACCAAAATGGAGAACCATCTGGATTTAAACCGTGCTACATATGTACAAATATGCTGTAATGCAAGCACTTTGGATACTTTTTAAAATAAAGTGGACAGGATATAAAATTAAAAAATGTGACTCAGGGATCCATATATGGTAATTTTTAATGCTCTCTTATTGTTCCAGATCACAATGAAATATTTGTTTTATGGGAGAAATATTTCTTCCTTCTAACAAATCTCTAATAATTAAAATTTTTTATTCCAGTTCAACTATGAAAAGGAATGTGCCCCTGATTATAACTATTCACACACCTGCATTTCTACCCTCTCTAGGTCTTTCTGATCAGCTACCAATGATGAGTTACCCTCAAATATTTCTTCCTGGATTTTCAGATTCTTCTGTAGGTCGAACCTCAGGGAACTTAATGGCCAACTTGAGCACAGATATGGCGCAGTTTCCAATGAACAGTAGGATTTAAGGGTAAGAAAACATTTTCTTTCCACTTTATGTATTCAAATAACTTCTTACACTTAAAATATTAATAGTTCCTACCTATGAAGGATGTTGATCAATAAAGTGTAGTCCTGAAGGAAGTCATCTGCTTGAAGTCGGCTCCCATTTCTAATTCCAAATTCTGACAATTTCTTGTGGTTATTAGCTAAAAATTTTTAAAAGAAATTTAGATGCTTCAGTTATATCCCCATGAAGCAGTCAACCTTAGTTTTTACAAGATAAACCCCCTCCTATAAGATGAATTGTATCTCCCCAAAATTCACATGCTGAAATGTCTCAGAATGTGACTGTACTTGGAGACAGTTTTTTTTTTTTAAAGAGGCATTATGTTAAAATGAGGCTGTTGGGGAGAACCCTAATCCAACCTAATTGCTATCCTTAGAAGAAGCCAAGGAGAGGGGCCTCAGGAGAAACCAAACCCATCAACCACCCCTCCAACACCCTCACTGGACACTTTTGTCTTAAGACTTCTAGCCTCTGGAACTAGGATAAATGTGTTATTTAAGTCACTTGCCTGTGTGTTTGGATGTGATGGCCCTAGTAATCTAGTTCACTAAAATATCAGGCACTTAGGAACTCAGCCCTGAAAACTCGGCTACCAAAACTACTTCAAGGAAACCAAACTGAGAAGTTCTGAGAAACTTCTCCCTTTGAAACCAAATTCATCTGGAACCCTACAGTAGTCAATGACAACTTTTAGAATTGTTCAAAATATACTCTATTTCTAAAAAGGTTATCCACAATATCAACCATCAACTTTTAGCCAATTTTACAAGTCAGTTATTAAATTGTAAACTTTATTTCAATCAATTTTTCAACATAAATTTTCTGCATTTCTCAATGGACAACCAGAGAGGTCCCCAAAAACTAATCACTCCAACTCAATTCTCTCTTCCACGTCATTTCTGCTAAATCTGAATAGCCCCAGGATGTAGCACTCGATGCCAAACATCCACTAGCACTCAGTAAGCCTTTGCTACATGGATTAGAAATAGTCCAGTGAAGAACAATCTCTCCAGTCAAACTTTTGTTGTTACCATCTCCTCCTACCTATTCTAGGACCTTCCTGCCTTTAACCATCCTTTCTCTCCTGCATGTTCAAATGCTCAAGTTTCATTTACAAAACCACCTCCTCATTTAGCTCCCAATTTACACTCTCTCCTCACAATAATCAGTCTGCTTTACTGAGAATTTGCTCTACAGACTGTATAGAATCTGTATAGCCACAGTGCCTGGCACATACAAAGTAAAATGTATTTTAAATTCTTAAATTCTGCTTATAATTTTTAAATTTATGTTGTTTTCTACATAATCCAATGGCTTCCCTGGCAGCTCAGCTGGTAAAGAATCTACCTGCAATGCAGGAGATCCCAGTTGGATTCCTGGGTTGGGAAGATCCCCTGAAGGAGGGCATGGCAAGCCACTCTAGCATTCTTGCCTAAAGAATCCATGGACAGAGGAGCGTGGTGGGCTACAGTCCATGGGGTCACAAAGAGTCGGACATGACTGAGCGACTAAGCACAGCACAACTGTCTTTTTTTTTTCCTTCTTATTTTATACCTTTTCAGTCTACCTGGAATGTCTCTGGAGAACAGTTAATTTTCCATTTCCAAGCTCTTTCACACTCACTCAAATCCCACAGCCCAACATGTTCAAAAGGGAAATAGTCTCTGAGCAATTCTATCCGGGTGAATTAGCATCACTTCTGAAGCCAGAGTCTTGGTAACAGTTCTGTCCAAACGTAACAATGCTACTCTTTTCTTCCTCACCTGTGCTCTAAATTTAGACTCTGCAAATGTCAAATCTCTCACTTGCTTCTGAGTTAGTAAAAATCCCTCACTTCCATTAATTTTGTTCTAACTGGCTCCCCATCTCCACTGTCACACCCTTGCCTTACTCTCCTGCAGGTTACACATTACGCCCCTGCTTAGACCCTGGAGGAAGCAGGAAATTGGCGGGGGGGAAAACACACACACAACACACAAAATCCTCCAGCTGCACCACTGCTGCCAACCCCACAGCACCCCACCTTCCAGGAAACAAAACAGCTGGTCATTCTGAAAGCCCTTTGTATTGCTTTGTAAGTTCATGCCTTTGCAGATGCTGTTCATTCTGCCCAAATGCAGACTCTCCCCTCAGCTCTTCTTCAAGAACTGGCCCAGGAGTCCTCTCTCCTGTGATATGCCCCCCTTGCCCGGTTAACCCTCCCTTTACAAAGCTTAATTCAAACTCTGTACACCTTCTCTCTACAGTATTTCTCAGATGACACTAAATCTACTTGTTGCTAATCTCTCATCTCCTTCTAGGCTGTGAAGTACTTTAAGCCAGGGAATATTATCTTATTTATCCTTGAATTACAAATATCTATGACTATGCCTGTAATACAGCACTCCAAAGGCTATTTGAATAAATGCTCTCTCACCCTCAATAGCACATGTATTCTGTGGAAAAGGGTCACATTTAAGCCACTCAGATTCTAGACCAGTTTCCATTTTTAAGGTCCTAGCCTTTAAAAGAGCTGGCTAGAACTAATGGGAGTATTTTTTTTTTTGGTGAAGACATATTTAACTAGACTTTTAATAAAAAACAGACTACTACCCAGCCAAAGCACGACCTCCAATTACTTATGACCCAATATCCCCAAATTTCTGGGCAAGGAACTATAGCCAAAAAGAATCCTGACACTCTCCAATAGGACAGATGAGGTGTGAGAACTTTTAAGTCCCTTCAGATTGACCAGTGTGATCCTCAGTACTGTATACAGTGAACGGAAAAACTAAGGTGCACCCCTTCACTCAGGCAGTCTCCATTCAGATGAGGGTGAGTGAACAAAACAATGTATAATACCTTCTGTCTCTCCCTCTTCTGAAGATATTAGGATTGTTCCTTTTCCATCTTCAATTTGGACATCTGGTGCTACCATAGCAAATTTTTCTTTCACAATCTATAAGGAAAAAAAATTCAAAATATTAACATATGGAATTAAAACCCATAAATATCCTAGACTTCTTATAAAGGCTGTTAACTCTCTCCTTCCACTGAAATTCACCCAATTACCTCATGCCCACGTTCTATCCCATGTCTGACCACTAATAAAGATCAGGTAACACTTCTTCCAAATAGGGACTAAGAACTCTTGGCTGGCTCTTGCTATTTTGTCCTTCCCAGCAGATTAGGTACTAAGCTAGACACTTGACATATTTTACCTTAGTCTCTATTACAGCTCCATACTGGAAGATGTTTTATAGATGAAAAACTTCTCATCAATCTGATTCTCAGATAAATAGTCTTCCCCTTCCCAAACTCCACATCTTCCCAAGTTCCATATCCCCTTTGCAAATTCCAAGATGGATCAGGAGCAGTTAATAGTAATACTATTAAATCTTACCTGATCCTAAACAAACAAACAACAGATAACTCTCTAAAGGTCCAATTACACTCCCAATGTGTGGAATTACCTTTAGCTCCAGAATGAGTAGATACCAATTATAATCATTTCTTTCCTAAGAAAGAACACAGAGCAACCACCCTCTGCTGGCCAACATACCAAGTCCAGCTCCTTCTCCATCCAAAACTAAGTTCAAATCAACCTGTCCAATGTAACCAGTTCTGGGAGAAAGGTCATTCATTCTCAAGCAGCCTTTAGGGCCACAAAGTCTACTCCTTCATGTCGAGAGGTATGTAAACATGAAACACCACAATGTACACAATCAGAGGAACTATGTGAAGTGATTTCCAAAGTGAGAAGTGACACCCATTCAGGCCACTTGCTCTTTCCTAATTAAAAAAAATACTAGGAGGAACTGAAGGACCAGGCTACAGGACCAAACCATACCTTAACTGTCCCTCTCACACCAAAGCTCTACAGGTGAATCCAAGTGTGCTAACAAGGCATCTCCTCGGGGACTACCTTAATACACCCTCACTAGAAACCTAAGGAACACAGGATTTGCTTGTAAAGATACTGTTACCTATCTATATACCACCTGTGGTCCACATTCTAGCCAAATACACCTATTCCTCTCTGGGATGTGAAGCACACATTCTCGAACCACAGAGAGAAAAGTCAACAGGACACAGATGGCAAAGGTACACACCTCAGTAGTCAGGGTAACTATCTGGCTTTTAGTTTATCACAGTACACTGTAAAAGGCAAAAGGGGACTTGTTTTTTCCTTATAAACAGTTCCCTGTGGAAGAGAACCAGGCTCTACACTTACCTTATCTTGTAAGGTGAGAACGGTCACTTTATGAACATTCAGCCGCACAGTCACCTCTGGCTTGCTGGCACACACGTAACAGTTAGGGTTGGGAGCATCCAGCGCACAAGGCACAAGAAGCTTCTTTCTTGGGTTTGGTTGTTTATTCAAAAAGATCTTTGGCAAAAAAAAAAAAAAATCACAAGCAGAAATCTTAATTATAATTTTATATACCATAGAATATTCATTTAAATACTCCCTTCCAGATGGCAAAGGATAAGGAAAATCAAGACCTTAATTGGCTGATTTTTATCCCAACCTTTTCAAATTAGCCAACTTGTAAATAAGGCTGAGTTTACTGAAATCTCGTTGTACTGAAGACTAGACTATTCTGCAAACTAACTTAGCATGAATAACGGCCTAACCATACTTGTCTCTGGTATCATCACTGAATCAGTTTGGAGTGCTTTCCTAGTGGTTATTCTTATCAACTTTAAGTTAATTTCTAGCAAGACCAGGGCACTAATTTCTCAAATTAATGTCTGTACAGATACAAGGACCAAATGAGCTCCATTTCTTTTCTAATTTTCTGATGACTATGAAATCAACATTCACATAATTAAAGAAAAAATAATGTATGTCTGGCACTATTACCATTTTCCTAATACCCAAACCAAAAAAAAAAAAAAAAAAAAATTACACGAACCAAGGGAAATAAAAAACAAACTGCACTGAAGTTACAATTGTCAAGAGAAAAATCAGATGCTAATACATAAATTCTTACTGAGAAACTACCATGTAGTATGGTATCTGTTAAGATGAATTATCTCTAAAGAAGAACCCTATTGATTCCCCCAAACTTAAAGAAGTAAATCCCCTGACAGACATTAAGTGCTAGACAGAGGCCTCCTGTAACCTCTCCCCACAATGAATACTAAGCGTACACACTTGTACTGCCAGGGCTGGGGTAGGGGACAACGGCTGATCTGGAGCTTCACTGGGAGGGTAACTCCGCTAAGAGAAATCGACAGTAAAAACAACTGCTAACACTACTAATACTGAGGCTAACACTTCTATTAACCTATCCTGAGACTCATTTATAAATGGGAACAAATGGAAGCCCAGACATATGGGTATCATTAGTCCAAGAGAGGAACAGAGATGAGCAAATAAAGAAATGAGAAGAATGTTACAGAACAAAGTAAAACACTTGTTCAGGCTGCTATAAAAAGATAAGACATAAAAAAATATAGTTCTTAGAAATTAAAAACATGATAGCCAAACTAATTTAAACAGAAAGCTGAACGAAGATGGCAGACTGGCATTATGATTCTACACTCCCTCACCATGAAATCTCATGGAAACAATAAAAAGTATTTTAAGAGTGCATTAATAATGACACTGAAAAGGAAGAGTACCATCATAGACTAGGTTTTTTGCTTTTGTTTTTAAAAGACATTCCTAAAAGTAAACTGGTCCTTTTATTTCAACATTACTGTACAAAGGAGAACCTAAAACAATAGCAAAATATTGGCTCCGATATTCTTAGGAAGTTTTTTAAATCCCCAGTGGTATGAAAGCAAAGTATCTTCAGACATGCAAAATCAATTCAGAAAGAAAGCAGGAATCCAAACAGAATATTCAAGTGGTTTTAATCTTAAGAGATAAACCCAGTCCAACCACTACTAATGCAGGAAACTCATGATAGGAGATGTTCACATAAAGCAAGGGGAGGATAAAAAAAGAGGAGAAAAATTTCTTCCCTGCAGAAATAGCAAGAAAAATTATCTCAACCTTGGTGCTTCGTGAGGGAAGAATATCTTCCATTACAGTAAGATAGAGCTCATGCAGATTTGCTGTCTGAATATATACTGAGAACGTACAAGTGGTCTCAGGTTGGTAGAACCCCAGGCACCCAGATATAAACAAACACAAATCCTCTTTGAAGAAATACACCTTCAGTGGATCCTTAAAGAATTATCACAGATACAGTGTTAACAAATATAATTCTGTCTAAAAACAAAAACTCTCTCTCTCTCTCTCACATAAGCAAACAAAACACAATGAGAGAGATCTAACAGAAATGACACAAGCTCATCCATAAAGATTTCAGGCATTAACACAACCAAATATAGTTACAATAACATAAAGTTTAAAATAAAAAGGGAGACTGAAAAAAAAAAAGGGAGACTGACAAAAATGACTGAAGAACAAGGGACTATAAAATGACCAAACAATTTTAAAACCAGAGTACTCTTAGAATTGGAAAACAATGAAGAAAAGTTATACAAAGGACCCACACAATGAGTTCTTCCAAGAATTCAGTAAAACTAGAAATGTTAGAAGCAAACTAGCTTCTCCTTCCATTTTAGACAAAAATAAGAGAAGCAAATGTGTTTTCCTTTTTGTTAACTTCCAAGAAGCTTACTTAAACATGCACCTCACAAGGTAACTCAAACAATTACTTTTTTCATTGCTTTAAACCAAATGTTATTGTTTTAACTTTAAAATTGCAAATACAAACACTCACTGTTCTGCACTGGTCTATTTTTCCTGATAAAATCTTCAGTCCTTCCAACACTATCAACCCAGCAATCACTGCATTAGTAGTAGCGATAGCAGGAATAATGTTCCCTGCCATTGCTGGAAGAAAAAAAAAAAGAAGTTTAGCTGTTAAAAAGAAAAAAGAAACTTAGAATTTAGATGATACGACTGAAGTGCAAACAACTTACATTTGATATCGAATCTGCTCTTCATATTCATACTGAAAATATGCATCCTGAGATTTGCAGCAGAGGTGACAAAATCCATTGCAGACGGGTCATCCTGTCAATAATTTAAACAACTTAACAAGTCTCCCCACAAATTTACTAATTTGGCTAGTGCTGCTTTCAGAACAGCACTTTCACAAGTTTCTAACACATCAACTAGAACAAGAGATGGCCTCCAGGGAAAGGCTGGTCTGGATGAGAAGCGAGCAAGAGGTCGCTTGGGATATCAGCTCCAGGGATACAGGAATGTGGCCTGCCAAGAGCCAACAGGTTTTAGGAATTCACTCCTCTGTACACAAATGCACTGGAGATGAAGAGTACACAGATCAGGATACCAATTTTATTTACTGATGGTGGCAAACCTTCCCTGGGTCCGCAGTCAATAATAAGCTTGTCTGACAAGTACGGAACTCAGGGATGAAGATACAGACTGCTTTAAGAAAGCTACTTCATTAAAGCCTCAGAAATACCTAGACTACCTCTTTTTGCTTTCTTTCTTCATATTCCCTTCACATACACTGCACTCCTATATTGGCTGATTCTTTTCAGATGTGGCAGGACAAAGAAAGTTTTCCCTTTACAATTTCTATTCTTCCTAAGCATATATCCTACTCTAATTAGATTTCAGCTAAGTTTCATGCTTTGAATTGAGAAAAATTATCCTAGCCCATAATGCAGAAACACCCAAGTATGAAAGAAAAAGCATAGGATGTGGGTTCTTACATACTTATCTGGCTGGCTGAGGAACCACAAACAAATAAATCCCCCTGACCCAAAATTCCTTAATGTGTTAAACAGGGAAAATTATATAAACATCTTGTAAGGCTGTGATGAGGATAAGTATGATTATTTAAGAGTACCCAAAACAGGTCCATCAGGTACTTCCCCCGGCAACTGGCTTATCACATCCATTAGTTACAGATTCTACTCACAGAGAGTAACAATTTGCAGTCCCAAGTTTTGTTACTGAGTCCCTGTACACAGATGAAAACCTCCTAAACCAGTTACAAAAATAACAATGAAAAGAAGTTTTAATACTAATCCCTTACAGCACACAAAACCTAAAGACTAATGTTTGTAAGACTCTCCAAAATCTAAATTTACCAGCTTTATTTCAGATGTCTGATTCAACCCCCATTTCAAAATTTGCAGATATAAAGCTATCTTGTGCTCAGTTGTGTCCAACTCTTTGCAACACCATGGACTACAGCCTGCCTACTCCTCTGTCCAAGGGATTCTCCAGGCAAGAATACTGGAATGGGTTGTCATTTCCTTCTCTAAGTTATCTTAGTTCTCTAAAACTGATCAAACTTTTCTCCTTACTTTGAAATTAATGGCAAATCTTTACCAACATCTGAACATGCAAACTTTAGCAGATAAATCACTTATAGTCATAGAAAGTATTGAGAATAATTAAAAACAAGTAAAATTAACTCACTAAATCTCAAAATGTAACATTTAACTGCAAGATGCTATTAAATATTGTTTTAACTTGTAAGAATAATTACATATCCTTACCGTATTAATAAGTCTCTCAGAACTCAAAGCATTATTAACTACTTCAATAGAAAGGCAATTTTATTACTTTCAAGGCCAAATAAGGCCCACGAGCTATTGTGGCCAAAAGGATATTATGACTTCTATTAATAAATCTCTATTACGTAAGAAGCTCTGTTAAGGTTATTTTCTTAAGTCAGAGAAATATTTTACTCCAGTAAAGTCACATTATTTCTCTGGTCAACAGTTACAAACCATGAACACATTATTAGAATCTAAAATGGGGTTTAATGATATTACTGAAATTCACATATAGAAAATTCATAGTTCAACGTAGTAATTAGAGATGAAAACATCAAAACAAAATCAATGTCCTCAAAATCTGGTAGAATAAAAACAATATCCCAACATTACTAGATTCTGATATAGCTCAAGATCTAAAACACACATGTGATATACAAGTAACTGCCACACATTTTCAACACAAACCTTGTCCCATATGAGCTCAGCTCCATCCCCCTTTTCTGCTAAATGAACTCTCAAAGTCTCAATGCTCTTTGAAAAAAGACACGCATAGCTCTTGACATCTAGAACCTGCTGGTCTTTCAGACCTAACTGAGGTTCATTTGGTTGATCTGATGCACTGGTTTCTTCTCCTGGAAGAAAAGTATTAGAAAATTTACTAACATCTTTCCTCTACTCAGTTTAACATTCAATGCCTGACAATAAAAAAGTTATATAATATGAAACAAATTCCACTAAAATAATTATCACTGATACAACTATGCATACATATGCAAGAAATTGGTCCATATTATGCAAAATTAAGCAATACAATGTAAACAAGCTAATAAGCATTATGCCCAGAACACAGTAAGTGGAAGCTATCAGAGCAATACTTGAATTGAGCTGTAAAAGGAAGTATTTATTACTATAGATAACTACAGGAAACCGCTTCAAACTGACACCCTAAATCTCCTGGGACCTTTTAAATTTCAATATGCTAAACACTGCTGTGTAAAACAAGTTGAGACACAATGTGTTGAGAGAGAGAGGGGTAGGGAAGCAGTCAGTACTACATTAGTTTTTCCTCCCTTAAAGCTACAAATATGTCCCAAAGTTTAAGGAACATTTTACATCAGGGAGAATATGAAACATTAAATGTTAACTGATAAGGGACTAGGTTAAAAAATACTGACTGAAAACAGCAAGTCAGAGTATATAAATAGTATGATTCCATTTACGTAAAGTGACCACGCAACTGCCTGTGTCTATGTGCAGTTATCACCAAAACATTCTTAAAACGTAGTAGTAATTATTTCTCCAGGTGATGAGATCTCCAGTGATTTTCCTTCTTCATACGTTTCTGAACTGTTTGAATTTCTTACCATGGGTGTACACCACTGTATACCAAGAAATAACAAAGCAATTTACAGACTTCAGGTAAGAGAAGTTCCAACTTAGGAATCTCAAAGAGAAAAATGTACCCTTCACCTTGACTTTGCACTTCAGCCCAATCCAATGGAACTGGAGGTTTCCTTTTCCGCCATAGTTTGTCCATCGTCAATAGATACCTGATATCATCTTTAAAAAGCTAAGACAGAAAGGAAGAAAGATAAATTCCATGAACCCTACCGTCCGTATTCTGATAAAATATATAACAAAATTACCCTGCTGACTTAACACTATAAAATCTGATTTAAAGATCTGAGGATATGTTATTTACCAGTAGATTAACAATTCTCAAGGGAGGGCGGGGGGGAAGGTGCACACCTAAAATCTTTGTGTAAGAAGAAATTTTACACACAACGCTTGCACTTGAAACGGTTAAAATCAGAGATGCTGAGAAAAGCAGAGTAAGGGAGCTCTGAACTGTGTGATTGACCCCTTCCTCCCAAGCCACTTCCACTTCCCCATATTGGCTCCTCAGATCAGCTGGAATCACAATCATACCCTTCAAGGGACTAAGTAAATACACAAACTCCACAAGAAGTGAGCCTAGAGGTACCAGTTAGCAACATCTTCAAGTTTGTGGGTACTTACCAATAAAGTATACACATTTTAAAAGTGCTCAAACGGAAATGAAGAACCACCTGCAACACCTTTGAAATGTGCCCCCCGACCCCGCCGCAAAGACTTCAAACACAAAAAACAATTCCTATTTCAAAACTAAAACCAAACATTACCACATATAGATTGAGACTATCACACGAATCACACTTTCTATGTGGTAGAATTTCAGATGATTTTAATAGTTTTACATTTTCCTTAGCTATATTTCCTATTGTTGATTTACTCCACCCATTTTTTGTATATACTGGATATGAATTTAGATATGGCTAAAAGTTAGAACTATTTCTATCAAAATATACTCAACTGAGGATCTATCAAACATCCTTAATCTTTGGAAAACCAGCTAAATATACAAACAATGAGAGTACAATTTAGTGTGAAAACCACACAGCTCAGAGTACTGTTAAGTTATTCTGTTCTACTTTTGGAACAGGGACAGTTGGTAACATCTGAAATGGGCACAAAAGGAAGGAAATGAGGGGTCCTATATGATTTGGGTAACAAATTTGGCTAGAGACATTTTATAGAGGACCCTTAGCGCTTGGCTGTAAAGCCTGCCAGGCAATGGGGAATTAGCATGGATTTCCAAACACCAGCTCCACATCTGTCTCCATTCAATTATTAAATACTAGGAGGCCCTCAGAGTTGTGTAATGAGCTATTTTCACTCTGTCTCTTTCTATAAACCTAACTCAACCAAATCTCTAAATTGGTTCCTTACCCACAGAACCATGTGTCATCTCTCTCACGTTTCATAGAGGAATGTCAAAGTCTATCACCTTCCACACTCCGCTGATCCCTATGCACACATGTGTTTCCCGCCCTACCTACCTCATAGACTGGCACCACTATTCACCTGCTGCCCAGCAGGAAACCAGGTAGTATTCTTGGTTCCTCATGTTATACAAAGTTCAGTTTGTAAAAAAGTGGACAACCCACACCCCCACGGGAATGCAGATGGGTTGTACTTCCGATTCCTCCAGAAGGCACTGTCCCATACTGGTTACAAGGAACCAGGGGAACACCAGGTCCTACAAGAGTGCACTGCGTATTTCCTATACCTTATACTGACCCTACGGACTACCCTTCAATGGATTCCCACTGTCTTGGTGAAATATCCTTATCATGACCCAGAAAATCCTGCCAGATCGAGTCTCAGCTTACCTTTACAGTCCTCTTTCCACTCTCCCTTTTAATGGGAATTATTTCAGTTCTTCAACCTGAGACTGACTCTACATGCTGCATTCTCATCCCCACCCTTATTCTTTGAAATCTTGAGTTGAAATGTCATTTCCTCTGAACAGCCTCTTCTGAACCTTCATTCCAGTCTAATAATAATGTTTAATAACAAGGACAGTTAAGTCTACTTATTATTACAGGGTTCCAATACATTTGAACTTAATCTCATAACACCCTGAACTCAAAACTGCTTGTTCAATATTTGACTTCCCTTCTAGACTCTGAGTTCTCTCCCCTACAGAGAGCTAGGACCCTATTTTCTGCTTCTGTACTTAAAGTATGTGGCACACAGCACATGCTTAAAGTTACCTGTTGAACAACAGATTGGACACATACTTCAGATTGTTCTGGCATTCAACTGCTCAAATTGGAATGGAACTAGGTATATGGACACTAGTTTAGAAAATACTGTCACTATCCATATCAGAGTTAAGCACATTTGATTTTAAGCATAATCAAAACCAGCAAAGCAATGTAAGAAGAGAAACAGCAGAAACCAAAGGTGAGTAATATAAAGAAAATCAGTGAAAGTGAGGGATGGAAAGACAACTAAGAGTGCATAAATAAGCCTCTGTATTTATCTTCTATAAAGATGCCACACTGATTTAGTATTCATGTTAAAATTTCAAACCTGTTTATCCCAACTACATCACAATGAATTCACTAAGACAATGCTGTGTTCTCTGTGTGTGCTCAGTGGTGTTCAACTCTCTGCAACCCCATGGACTGCAGCCCACCAGGCTCCTCTGTCCATGGGATTTCTCAGTCAATAATACAGCAGTGGGTTACCATTTCCTTCTCCAGGGTATCTTCCCAGTTTAGGGATCAAACCCATGTCTACTGCATTGGCAAGTGGATTCTTTACCACTGTGCCACCTAATAAGCCCAATTAAATCACACACTAGCTTAAAGCAAAAGTAATAAAAATCGATCCAGTTATAAAAAAGGTAATCCTAACCTTGGTAAAAAGTTTAACTGGATCATATCCAGTTGATTTAGCCCATTCCTTGGTGGAAATACGTTTAATGTCACCATCTTCACTAGATGCTCTGGCTCTGGCTTCGGCTTCCATTGGTTCCCCTACAAAACAAACACTGGTTTATTTTCAACTGTAGTTTGTGTAGAATGAATCTCTCATCCACCTTTGAGGGGTGGGGTCACTCATGGAAGCCACCAGCAAGTGACACATTCTGAATTCAAGCAGAAAGAATGATCATCACCATTTTTTTCTACTTCAGTTTCTGAAGGCCACACGCAGAGTAGTCCAAGTATAGACCTGGAAACAACTCCTGCCCACTTCTATTTACTAGATTTGTGAGATTTCTCTGCAGCGTGTTTCTTCACAAGTAGAATGGTACGACTCATTTTTTAAAACATCATTTAAAGATGAAACAAGAACATAATACATTATCTAGCATATAACAGCAATTATCTCCCCCTCCCCCTGCCTTGAGCTACCAATATTAAATTAAGAAAATAAAGATAGTGGTCATCAATAAAAAAATATATCCTAACTAGTTTACTCACAGGAAGCTTCAGGGTCAGCTCTGTCAGGAGATACTTCTTGATCAGCATCTTCTTCTCCAAACAACTGGCTATAATTTAAGAATAGTAAATATTTATGTACATCAAAGGTAACAAATGTTACCTTTTCCAAGCTTCCTCAAATCTTCAGGAGGGATGAAAATTAAATAATTGATAAATTTTACTCCAGAAACCTCAAAATATTTAAGCAATCTGTTTAAAACAGCTTGCATTCTCATTTGAACCACAACACAGAGAAGGCAAAATATTAGTAGACCCAGATTCATTTCTGTCAGCTAGCTTCTGCAAATTCCTGTTAAAATTGTTGATCAAGAGACAGGTGAGTGGCTTTACATTCCAACACAGACAATATTTCACTTTCAGAACAATAGCTGTTTAGTATACCTGCAACGAGCTACTAAACAGTGACACACCCATTATGTGTGAGGCACTGCTGAAGGTGCAGGAAACTCAGCAGTAAGACATTTCACCATAGTAGTATGTATCTTTACCACTTAAGAGTCATATGAAATAATGGGAAAGTATTAAGCTGAAACTCCCTCTTATCAATCAAGCTATCCTACAAACTGTTTAATAACTTTTCAACCTGTCATTAAGCACAGGACTTACATTAAAATCCCAAAGATCCTGATACATTTTACAAGAAAACGGCCATCTGTTTCCAACACTGGTTGTACCCCAAAATACACTCCCAAAAAGCATGCATGAGTTCCTACCAATTAATTTCCTCTCCAAACATTCTGCCAAACTAGCAAGTATAAAATATCAATAGTATGTTACTGTGGCTTTATTCTTGATTTTGCTAAGTTAATCATACAGTTGAACATTATCTTTATTTGCTTATTGCCTAGATTTCCCTTTAAGTAAAAAAAGTGTCTATTAGTAGTAGTTGTCAGGTCGTCCTTCCCTTATTACAGGAATATATTCCAGACCACAATTTTAGTTCCTTATGTTGCAGTTAGTTCATCCCATGTAATAGCTTAATTGTGTATACATCATTGAACCTCTCTTGATGATGAAATACTAAATGAATTTGAATGTATCAATCCTTTTTTATAATTACCACTTTTATATCTTGAGAAATTGTTCTTTAACCCAAAAGATACAGATTTTCTCCTATATTAGAACAATTTAAAATTTTTTCTTTCACATCTGAATAATTAATCCACTTTGACTTAATTTCTATACATTATTAAATTACACATATTGTTTTAAGTAGAGAATAGAATTTTTTCCACATTGGTTCCACTTAGGTCTTAGTCTTCCATGTAAATTTTATAATCAGATGAACAAGTTCCAATAAAATCCCTGATAAAATTTTAATCAGAATTGTACTGAATCATTAATATTTTATATACACAAACTAGAATAAATGTGTATTTTGTTCTGTCAGCTAAGAAGGCCTAAAACAAATGGCACCCCACATGTATGCCTAAGCACTTGTATCCTGACTTCTAACATCATTCCTCAATAAAAGGAACCAGGGTTCCTTGAAAAAATGTCTAATTCTAGGGCTGAAGCAGGAAATACACAAGATGAACCTGGAGTATCTTATAGTACCAGAAAGTAAGGAATTACTCCAAAAAAAAAAAAAAAAAAACCATCACACTTTTTGATGGCTACATATCAAAGAGCACAAGGCCAACTGAAGAGCTCCCAATGGCCAAAGATGGAACAATCTGAGCAACAAAATTCAACAGTATATTGGATTAGAGTGAAAGTCGCTTAGTCACATCCGACTCTTTGCCACCCCACGGACTATACAGTCCATGGAATTCTCCAGTCCAGAATACTGAAGTGGGTAGTGCTTCCCTTCTCCAGCGGATCTTCCCAACCCAGGAAACTGACCCAGGGTCTCCTACATTGCAGGTGGATTCTTTACCAACTGAGCTATCAGGGAGGAAAAATCCATTAGATTATAACCCAAACTATAAAATACATTGAATATCAATGAATCTACATGGATAACAAACACTACATTAAGTGATCAAGGCCTACATTAATAGTCATAAATTATGCTGATAACATGTACCCCTCATATGATATGAGGAAAACAACACTTTACCTCTGAGGTCTTCCTCCCAATAACCTATAACCCCACTAATATCATAAGAAAAACATCACACAAATCCCAACAGTGGGGCATCCTACAAAATACTTGACTAGTACTCTTCAAAACTAACAAGGTCCTCAAAAACAAGGAAAGTCTGAAAAACTGTCACAGCCCCCTTAACGGGGACCTAAAGATATGGTAAGTAATTATGTGGTATCCTGGAATAGAAAAGAAACACTGGGTAAAAACTAAGGAGATTTAAATAATCTTTGGACTTCAGTTAATAAACAATGTATCAATACTGATCCACTGCTATGTATGTATCATACACTAGTATGGTAAGATGTTGACAACAGAGGAAACTGAGTGTGGGAACTTGCTACCTTCAATTGTTTTCTAAACTTGAAAACAATTTGAAACTGTTCTAAAAAGTAAAGTCTATTAAAAAGAAAAAAGTTTTCTAAATAAATAAAAGCTGCAGAATTTCTCGTGAAATTCTGTCATTATACCATTATATGCGTGAATATGTTACAAAGATTTTCTCCTATATTAGAGTGAATACCTGAGTGAATATATTACACCTTAATCAAAACATAAAACTGTTTGCTGCAGATTTCTAGAAGATATCAACTTGATAAAGTTCTCTTCTTAGTTACTAAGAAGATGAAAAGGTGTTTGCTAAATTTTACCATTCTTCCTGTATCTATGAAGATTATAGTTTCTCTTTCTTAATGAAGTAAATGGCATTTATAGATCTTTCCAGTGTTAAACCATGCTTGCATTCCTGGAATAAATACAACTTGGCATGCTTTTTGTTTTATACCATTTAGATTTGCTAAAACTTATTTCTGGCTGCGCTGGGTCTTCGCTGCTGCGCTGGCACCCCCTCTGGTTGTGATGTGGCGGCGTCTCTTGCTGCGGCGCACAGGCACCAGGCTACTCCGTGGCACGTGGAGTGCTTCTGGACCAGGGGTCCCACGTGTACCCCCTGCACTGGCAGGTGGACTCTCAATCACTGGACCACCAGAAAAGTCCCCCTCTTTCCTTTTCATGATCGAACTTGCCAATTTATTTTTCACTTTTATCTCAATTACATCCTTCTAATGTTCTGATTTTATGTTGTTCTTTTTCCAATGTAAGTTGGATCCTTTGCTGATTAATGTTCACCACTCTTCATGTGTGTAAGCCTGTAACTTCTTTCAACTACCACATTCAATGTGTCCTACAAGTTTCACATGTAGTATTTTCAGTATTATTACAAACTATTTTCAACTTCCATTATTTTTTACTTAACCAATGAGTTACTTCTAAGTATGTTTTAGTGTTTCCAAATACAAAGATTTATACTCATTTAGTTACATGCCTATTTCCAGTCAGAGTAAGCTCCATCATCCTTAAGTACAATTTCTCCATGGTATTTAAATAAATAAAAATAATCCCACTGTCCATCACCAGTACTAAAACTATGCCCAGAAATATATATATACTCTTACTTGAACAAATATTTCGCCCAGACAATGCAATGAATAGGTTCTGAAGGTGTGTTACGAATTGTACAGCCAGGGAAAGTTCTCTGGGTTGGTTTGGGATGACATTCGTAACACTCGGTCACACCCTGCAAAGTAAAGATGTGAGAAAAACATTTAACACATGACAATGGTTTCTCAATATTGTAATTCATTCTTTCATTTACATTCCAACTATCAAGAAAATTTTAAAATATTAGTGACTCCCAAAATCCTTACTTTACAGATAAGAAACTCTAACATAAAACCTAATTGAATCTACCAGTCACAGCAAAGGCTAAGCCAGGACTCTTGATTCCTGGCCCAGTGAAGAGAACACACAAGCTTACCTTGATCACAGTGAACAGAGAAAACTACTGGAGAGACAAATAACAGCTTTCCAACCAATGATCTTCCAAAGTTGTGAAACTCTATTATTTAAATATTATTTATAGCTTTACCTTATAAGCTCCTAAAGATTAAGTGAATTTAAAGCATTTAATTTCGAGAGCTAACCAGATACATGGAAAAAACCTTAGGTATTGCTAAACCAAATACTCTTCACTGCTAAAGTGTTATGTTTAAATGTACACTGGAAGGAATCTCTGAATGAAGTCTACAACACCTTTGATAATTTTTCAAAACTTCAAATGAATATTCTTCATTCTGGCAATTCTCTATCTCAGTCTTAACACATACTAGCGTCTCAGTAGTGGACCATGGTAATGAGCAATGTCTTTCTAATAATGGTTAAAGACCCCAAACCTGCAAATACTGTTTTAATAAAAATTGCAGCAGATCCAGGGTTTTCTCCATAATGCCATTTCTGGTGTCCTTCCAGCATGCTTTCTTGGGGCCAGCCATATTATAGCAAGCAGTCATCCCTCATAAATTAATATTTACAAGTCTTTGTAGAATGATATGAATTAAGCTCCCAAAGAGTAATACTAAACACTAAAAACAACTGAAGCAGAGCCACAATTTTTGGTATGGATAAACTGCCAAAGATCAGACAAAAATATCAAATTTCAAGTAGAGTATATAACTCCTTTTAGTTTCAAAACCTGCAAATGATTCTTCCAATGTATTTAATTTCTTAAAAGAATTAAGAGAAAAAAAGATATGAGCAGAAAATGAATAACAATACTGAGATTATAGAAAACTAAGTTATGAACATACAGGTACTTGTTCTTACTCTTTAGTTTTATCTAAATACTTGAAATACTTTACAAAGAGACTAAAAATTTTTTTCAAAGTACTCCAGACTATAAATCTGGACTTTAGCCAAAACTAACTTTCTAGAAGCTGGTTTAGCATACATGTCATGTAATCTCTTATTATGCTTGCCAACCTAAGGATTTTAATACATAAGCTACATTTTAATACATGCAAGGATTTTAATACATAAGATCTTTGCTGTACTCTCTTTCATACCTTCATAGCATCCTAAGTTTTAGAGGAGCACAAAAAGAATCCTTACATTCTGGAGGCTGACAAACCCATGTAATACATAGCCAACATTTACTTCTTCCCTCCTTAAGGTCCCAAATAAATATGTGGGAAGCAAAAACAAACAAAAAGATGTTCTTTACCTTTTTGATAGTGGTTACTTGCCCAAGATAACCAGCAGTTCCACTCTCAATAAGAGGGACATCAGCTGCTAGACACATTCTATTAACATGGTTGCGGGCAGCTGGAAGAAAAATACTAGTTAACAGGAGTTCATTGGGGAAAAAAAAAATTATGTAGTTACCTGTAATCAGAATGAAATTGACCCAAACCATTTCCTATTGTTATTTCACGTACAATTCTCTTACAGCTATGACCAGCATAATACAACTACTATAGATTTAAGAGACATGCAACAGTAAAATTTCTAACATAAATTCGTATTACAAATCTACTACATGAGAAGCACCCCTATATACTACTCTTTAATTCCAAAGTGCCATCTTCCTCTTCTACTGCTCTGGCTACCTTCTATTAAACTTGGCTAGGGAGGGGGGATCGGGATGGGGAACACATGTAAATCCATGGCTGATTCATGTCAATGTATGGCAAAAACCACTACAATATTGTAAAGTAATTAGCCTCCAACTAATAAAAATAAATGGAAAAAAAAAAACCCAACTTGGCTAGAACATTGTTTCAATGTTTTCCAAGCCCTTAACTTGCTCTTATTCTACTAAAATTATCAGACAATACATAGAAGTGAATGGAGAATATGGAATATCAACTTGGAACTATTAAGGCAGTTTAAGATTGGGGGGGAAAAAGAAAACAAGATTGGAGAAAAAAGATGAGTCTGGTTAAAAGAGTTATCCTGCCTCTTTCTTATGCTTTGTATCTCTTTTCTTTTGATATTTCTGACCTGAAATTGTTACAAATTTTGACTTGATAGATGTACTGTTACATGTGGAAGTAATTACAGAAAAGGGCTAAGTATTTTCATGCCACATTTCAGACACACAGATCTGTTAACAATAACTGGCTATACAGTATTTGATATATGAAACATCACCAACTTGTACAAGTTTAAATGGTCTAAAATGTGTACATGCAACAGGATCCAGTCTGGTATCTCACAGCGCCAAATATACCAAAACTAATTCAAGAGCCATGACTTTTATGCTAACTTTGGCATCCTGTTGCCTTACTCTCAAAACAGTGGTTTTTAGCCCCAACTGCCCTTTAGATTATCTGAGGAACTATGAAAAAAATATGGTCATTAGGTTCCACTTACAGAGTCTAATTTAATTGGCCTTAGGTGAAATCTGGGCCCTGATTATTTCTTAGATCTCCACATAAACAAAGGAAGTCACTGCGTTTAAGTGCTGGGATAATGTGAAATAAACAAACATGCACACAACATATGCAGTCATCCTAATGATTTTAGCTTCCCCTATTTCACAGTAGTTCCAGTTAAAATTACAATCAAATGGCAATCTTTAAACCTGATCTTATTTCCCTTTAGCTCTTTTAAGATCTAACTTGTAATGAAATATTTTAATTAATACTAATTGAATAAACAACCTTGTTATGGAAGAAACGAAGTACTTAAAATTATTAAAATAATCTCACCTCTGTTATCTAAAGCATTCATAACCAATATAAATTGTCGAAAAAATTCCACATTATAGTCAGGGCTACAAAGTAAAACAATAACAAAAAAAAGTCACCAAAACAACTGGCCTTATACATGAGCTTTACAGAATAAAACAGGGTACTAAAAAAGCATATTAAACTAATAACAGTGCAAAAATAATTGGTATTACGGGTCTCTACCATATATATAGGTCTGACTATTCCCAAATACCATCAACAGATTTAAAAGAAATTATTTCCCCTTAATCCCTGTGAATAACTACACATCCTTTTTGGCCAGTTAACCTTGGGCACTGAGCAGAAAACTCAAACTGGCATGACTTACGAGTCCCACCAGGCCTTCTTGGGGCAGCAAGTGCCTGGGAACATACAAAGAATACATTCCCAGGATCTGCCTGGCCTGTGGCTTCACCTCACATGGTCAGGATCAGCAGGGTTCAGGCCCCTAGGGTCCCTGCTTTTAGCAGCACTGGGAAAGCAACACAGGGTAAAAAGGTTGTAGGGCTATCAGCAAGCTTGTCGAGCAAACATCCAGAGAATTAAAAGGAACCTGGAGACAAAATTTCCCTGAGAAAGCATAAGACTTTCTTTAATTCCAGGCTTCAAACAAGAACTCATTGTTCTTAATGCCATTTATACTTGTTAGCTGGACAACTACAGATAAAGGATATTTTAGACACAGGGTTCCTTTGCCCCAACACCTCCAAAATTATATATTTACTCTATCTCTACTGAGATCAGAGAATACTTATGTACCATCAGAATTACTGCTCCATCACAATCCCCAATGTTATAGAACTCACAGCCCTAATAAACAAATTATTTGGGGAAGGAACCTTTTAAACTGAGAAAAGCTGTAGCTGAAGTTGACCAGAATGAGTAATATATTTAGAAAAGTCTGAATCATCACATGTAATGATTTTTCAAAGAATTATCTATTTAAAACAGGAATATAAGTTCCTTTTAAGTTTTCATACCTTATTTATGATTTATTGAAAGTATTAAAGTATCTCACCTCTTATCTAAATCATTCAAACCATTATGTGTGTGTGTATGAATATATATATATATGTATATACAAATATACTGCTAAAAGAATGACACTTATGTGGACATAACCTACTGCATTTTCATTATTCTAGAAAAATTTTTTTAGAAAGCAGAATGAGTTTGAGTTCATATATTTAGCTAATAAAAATATACTTTTGAAGGTTTAATTAAAAATTCACAGCAAATGCAATTTTGCGGCATAATAATCAGAGCATACTTCATGATGCTGTCATGGTAGGCTATGATATTAGCTTTCGGGTAAAACTGCAGTACACTCTCTTTGGCAACCTGGAAAAACAAACAACACTAAATTACTAATTACTAAATTACTATAACAATTCTAATTATATACAAAATCTATTTATGGAAGACAACTGCTACTTCACCTTACATAGTATTTATATTAAAAATAAAATAGGAAAAATATAACAGGAAAATTTCCACAAGATTAAGCTATATACACCTATTTATAAACTAACAGGACAGCTGCCTTCTCTCATACACACTTGTACATGAATGGCCAGCTTCAGCAAAAGTATCAAATGCTTTAACCAAGTATCATTCATCCATTCAACGATTATTTACTAAGTATCTTCCATATATCAGAATTTGTATAAGGCACTTGGTGAATAAAACTGACATATATCAAATAACCACCTAGATAAATGAAACTACAAAGTATAATAAATGATACACAGAAAAAGCAGAGGTTGTAATGAAAGGAAGATGTGATTTAGAGATTTAGGAAAGAACTCCTAGAGAAAATGTGAAAAATGAAAAGGGGAAAAGAGTGAAAGTTCACCCAAAAGGCTGAGAGAAAAGCAAAGGCAAAAAGTATTTCAAAACCTTGAATAAAGATGGAACATTCAAGGAACTAAACATTCAAGAACCTCAGGGCACGCTGTCTTCTTCTAAAGTGAACAATGGCCTAAGTTGTAGCTTCACCTGCTCAAAATACAGAAGCCAACCTCTGGGGAATGTAGAACACAAGGATCACTCTAAGTAAACACTCCGATATTTAAGCAAGAAGGGGAAACCATTTCCACCGTCAGGAAAAGCACTTATCTTCTCTGCATACAAAAAAAGGAGAGCACAGCCTTCAGTCCTTTTCTAGACAGATCTTTCTATTCTTCCTAATCCCTCAGCAGAAAAAGAGACGGCTTCCCCCATATTCTCCCTCCTACTAGAAACCCCAAGTTAATCTAATGCTATAAATAGAATATCCCTCAAGGGCAGAAACAATAATGAACAGATAAATAGAAACGATATGAGAAATACAATTACCTGGGCCTTTGATCTTCCAACATGTTTCTTTTGAAACAAAAACTGCCTGTTGAGGTTGCTGACATCAATAGTATCCAGATCAATCTACAAATACATAAACCAGATAAATCACCAATTTCCTGGTATGTTTGAGCAATAAATATCACTATTCTCTGCATCCATAACCCAAAACTTTTGGTTATTTGCTACATTAGTGGAGAAAAGGCTCTTAATACCAAAGTGTTAAATTGATAAAATAATTTAATACATATAAAAAAAAAAACAAGGTTTAATTTCAAAGATAACGTCCTCCCTCCCGCAAAAAAAACTGATCCTTTTCTTCGTTTACTTGTTTAATCATCCTGGCAAATATGGAAATTCCTTAGATGGCACAGAATTATGTTCAATATGCATTAAAAAAATTTTTCTTTTTTCCTTTCAATTTCCATCACTTCTCTATTAATCTCATCAACTACTCTTTCAAATCCAATATAATTAGCTGTTCCTTGTTTTTTCTTAAATGATACTTTACATTTATTGAATTTTTACCACATTCTTTAATTCAAAAGTCCTTACCCATCCACAATTTTATTTACAGTTATTACCTGAGGCTTGTGGAGGGAACCTTCTACACAAGGTTAAGTGTCTCACGTTTTAAGTCTTACCTAATTGCTGTTTAAACGTTAAATACAAGGGAAGAAGAAATAATTATAACTAAAACCACTTTCATTCTATTTCAATAAATTTATATGAAGGGTAATCAAATGTTCTGTATAACATCAATGGTTTTGGCTATAATTTGTGGAAATTACCAGTACATATAATCACATAACATTTTTTATTCGTGCTTTCTAAATTGCTACGAAAATCAAACCAAATAAAAAAAGATCAACATTTATTTCTCAGGTGCCCCAGCTCACTGTCTATTACAAAATGAACCTTTTAAAGGAGTATCAGTAATTATCAGCTATGCCACATTCATATTTGGGATTTGTGATACAGAACTGAATGGAAAGACAAACCCTATAAAAGCCAAAGGAAAATGCATAAATGCTTTTCCCTCCAGTCACTCATTTATTAGTTCAGTCGGTCATCTCTAATTCCATGTTTTCACTACACCTTAAAACGCTATAAACTCACAACCAAATTGTAGGTTACAACTCCAAACCTCTTAAGTTTACATAACAGAAATAACCTGACTCAAAATTGCAGTAGATTCCCACCACTGCACACCAATGCAAAAGTTAAAATCCTAACCAATACCTTTAACGAAATAATCTATGGTGATAAAAATGACTGTCACGCAGATTGTCTGTACCAAGAGAGGAGCGTAAGCCCCAAAGAAGTCCTACCAGTTGCCTGGCGACCCAAAGTAAGTTACCAAACGTCACTGCATCTCACTTTTCCTCTTATATGTTAAAAATAAAATGGGATGAAAACAGCGTTTACAAAGCCTATGACAGCAGTGAAGATTAAATACATTAAGGCGAGTAAAAGGCTCAGGACAGAGTCGGGCTCGGGACAAGCGCTCAGTAGGTCTTGATTGTTATGACCGCACCATACTCTGCTCTGGATATTGAGTTAAGAGGGACTTTGAATTGAACACTCGCAACATCCCCAAGGGACTCGAAACAACCATCTCCTGCCTCCCGTTCGAACTGGGGTACTCCTCTGAAGCGAAAGCACGAGGGCTCCTCCACACTCCAGAGCCGCCACAAATTGGCGGGGGGGAGGGGGGGGAGGCCCGTCACAGGACGCCCGGAAGACCCAGGCCCTCGGCCTCAACGTGCGGAGCGGGCCCGCGTGAGGCAAGGCCCGCCCCGTCGCTGTGGAAGAGCTCCCTCACCGTGGACAGCCAAGACCCCGGGGCCTCTGGGTCTGCCCCCGTGCTCTCAGCTGCGGTCCCAACCTCCGGGCCCCAAGCCCCCCGGCCCCGGCTCCACGGCCCGCCATTCAGCCCGCGCGCCCTCACCAGGTCAATGTGGGAGAAGCCAGTGAGCACGAGGTTTTTGAGGAGCTCGCAGCCGATGCCGCCCGCCCCCACCACCAGGACCCGGCCCCCGGCCACGGCCTCGGCCAGCTCCCGGGGCAACCCCCGCGACAGTGCCATGGCGGGACAACCACGAGCCGCGGCGGAGGCGGAGGCGGGAGAAGTGAGCCGCGGCCGGAAGCAGGTGGGGGAGGGGCGGCCCAGCTTCCGTTCCTGCGCACTTCGGCCGCCTATCGGCGCCGAGTGGGCGGAGCCCGAGGGTGTGGCCAGGCCGCCGGCCCCGGACAGGGCTGACTGTGAGCAAAGGACTTCACACCTCCGGTAGTAGTGTTTCTCCGCGACGCGCACGGTTCCGGTCTTCGGCTTAAGTAGCCTAAGGATAGTCTTTGGCCTGGGATTTGGAACTCCCAACCAAAACTTCTAACAGGTTAGAAAACTGATGTCCCTCTATGTAAAGAGCTCTTACAAATTAACAAGAAAATGAATGTCACACAAATAAAAAATACAGGCAATGGATGTGACGGAGCATTCACGAAGACAATGGGCAATATGATCAATGTTGAAATTTCATCAGAGACATGCAGAATAGTTTTCAAACGCTTTTCACCCACTGAACGGCAAAAACAGTGTAACACTTTCGTTAGGTACTCCACACACTGCAGGTATACTAAGGCAACGCTTTCTACAGAGTTTTGTGGCAATTTGATTTCAAAAACCCTAAAATTGTGCATAGCTTTTGATTCATTCATTCCAATTCTAGGAATTTATCCAATGGCAGTTACCACTGGTTAAAAAAATAATTAAATTGGAATAGAGAGGCTGATGTACAGAAAGGACTTGTGGACTCAGCAGGTGAAGGGGAGGGTGGGATGAATTGAGAAAGTAGTATGGACATATACACACCACCAGGTGGGATATAGTGGGAAGCTGCTGTATAACATAAAGAGCTGGATGCATACTTTCCTTTTATTGAAAAATACTTTGCAGCATTATGTGTAATGGAGTAAAGGCCTCTTGTGCCCCAAGCGAAAAAAGCCAAACTCTGACAGTGGAAATTTGTAGCAAAGTAGACTTATTGCAGGGCATCAAGCAAGGAAGTGGGAGGCAAGCCTCAGGTCCCTTCAACTTGGTCTTTGAGTTAGGGGATTTGAGGGGAAGAACAAAGAGGGATTAATCATCATCTTGTGACATTTTTAAATAGTCTGGGGAGTTGGGATATGTCTCTGGTTTACAATTCTCTGGCCACATGGTCCATGGCTCAGGGATCTGTTAGCGCACCTTCCTCTGGAGAAACAACCTGAGTTTGTACCTTAACAATGACATCTATAATAGCAAGTTTACTATATTAATGAGGTTATCAACAACAGCAATTTTAGTCATCTGACTCTGGTTTTTTAGTGTTCAGTTAGCATCAGACTGAGATCAGAGGAGGTAAGAAAGGGAGTAAAATTGTGGAGAGAGAGATTTATCAAAAACTCAGTAAGGGAACTTGGTTTCAGAAGGGGGTAGAGTCAGTTTCAATTACAAAGTATATCCTGGGAGAATACTGATGGGGTAAACACAACATAATGTTAAATGAAAAAGATACAAAACCATGTATGTGATTAAATTTTGTTAAAAAGCTCTCTCAAATGGCAAGAAAATACCCGTGGTTAGTATTTTTGTGTATTTATGTATGCTGGAATTGTGGACAATTTTTATTTCTTCTCTAAACTTTACTGTATTTCCCAGATGCTCATGCCCCTCAAAAATGTGAACTTTTAAATCGGAAAAAATTATTGGAAGAAAAAAGGAAAAGATGGTGTAAAAGGAAAATCCAAATAGAGTCATTATTGCTAAGAGAGCTCTCTAAAATGGAGCTGGAAAGCCACTAATAAAGTGTAATTTATGCAAGGCTTCCATAAGACGCCCTTATCTGTCCACAGTGTCTGTATCTTCTGGACCCCAAGGGCTTCCCTGGTGGCTCAGACGCTAAAGAATCCTCCTGCAATGTGGGAGACTTGGGTTCGATCCCTGGGCTGGGAAGATCCCATGGAGAAGTAAATGGCAACCCACTCCAGTATTCTTGCCTGGAGAACCCCATGGACAGAGGAGCCTGGCGGGCTACAGCCCATGGGGTCACAGAGAATCGGACATCACTGAGTGACCAAGCACAGCACGGCAGTGAAGTCTGACCTTCCGACCACTCACTGTCCTAATGAAGGCACTCAGAACATCTGCCAGAAACTCAATGCTTATTACCCTTACCCAAATATGACTCATGGCAGCCTATCTATTTATCAGACCCTTGCCCTAAAACAACTCGTGACCATCATCCCTAAAGGACAACTATTTCCTTTCTTGTGTCAGAGTACAGCCTCGTGGTATTTGTCATCATAAGCCCCTGATTCTTTCTCTTCCCTGGAACTCTCTTTCTATTATACTCAAATCTGTGTCTTCTGAACTGTAACTTCTTTAAGACTTACTGATTTAATTTTGGGGGCTACACTGGGTCTTTATTGCTGCACATGGGCTTTCTCTAGTTGCGGTGAGCAGGATGCTACTCTGTTGTGGCGCATGGGCTTCGCGTTGCGGTGGCTTCTCTTGTGGGAGGGCATGCGCTCTAGGATGTGTGTGGACTTCAGGAGTTGCAGAACATGGACTCAGTAGTTGTGGTACATGGGCTTCCTTGCTCTGAAGTGTGTGGGATCTTCCTGGTCCAGGGATCAAACAGGTGTCCCTTGTATTGCAAGGCAGATTCTTAACCACTGGATCATGACTGAAGCCCCAAACTGCAATTCTTATGATGCCAAATATACTGTTTTCTTCTTTGTTTTGTTGGTTGACAATGGAAAACAGAAGAAAATTGCTTTTGACTTCTCTGGTCTTTTTCATCAGTTGATTGGTTCGCCAAGCACTCACCAAGCTTGGTCTGTGAGAAGCACTCAGGCTGTCGTCCTGAACCACCAGGCAAAGGAAGGGCCAGGGAACCCAGCCATGGTCGGGGGGCGGGGGGCACACGCTTGCATAGTAGGCTGCTGACATCCCTTCCCTACCATTGGCCTGTCTCTCTTAAACAGACATCCTGCGCAGCATGCTCAACTTCCTCCTCCCTCGAAACACGCTGTGGATAGAGCCACCTTCCTTTGCTTCTCTCCTGCCTAGAAAACTGCACACCTAATCCTACTCCTCAGGGCCTTGCTGGTATTTCTATTTTCAGATCTAGATCTTTTACACAGCACTTAAGTGGGTTCACACTGGACTTGTTTTCTCACGTCTTACTTCCTTAACAATTATGTTGCAAACATTTCCACTGGATGATGGGGATGCCTCTGCGATCTGTACTCTATTTAGATAAGATCTGATACAAACATGCATAACTAGATTCAAGAATGCATTTGGTTGGAAGCACAAGTTGTCTCCACCTAAAAGAAACATGACACCTAACCCATACCTGAAAATGGCTGTATCAACAGTTTAAAGCAGTAATTATACCCCATCCTCTCATGAAAGAAGGGTACTCTCTGGCCATTTAAATAAATCCAAAGTGATGTACCTGCAGTCCGATGTACCTGATATGGGCAGTCTGTTTTCTGCTTTAGTTAGAGTGAGTGGTCTGAAGTCTGAGGGATTATCTGCCCACAACAGAAGTGCCACAAGGGAACTGGTGAGGGCTTCTCCAACATGACAGAGACGAGGAATCAAAACCTCTCTCTGCAGGGCTTCCCTGGTGGCTCAGTGGTTAAAAAAAAAAAAAAAAAAGCCCGCCTGCCAATGCAGGAGACATGGGTTCAATCCCTGATCCGGGAAGATCCACATTTTAGTTGCCGTGGAGCAACTAGGCCCATGCACCACAACTACTGAACGTGTGCCCGAGAGCCCAGGAGACACGACTGCTGAAGCCCGCACGCGCCCTGGAGCCCGTGCTCTGCAACAAGAGAAGCCACCGCAATGAGAAGCCCGTGCACCACACCTACAGAGTAGCCCCTGCTTGGTGCAGCCAGAGAAAGTCCTTGCAGCAGTGAACATCCAGCACAGCCACAACTAAATAAATAAATAAAAACGAACAAAAAACCTCTCTCTGCAGGTCCACACTCAGCCTCAGCCCTACAAACCCAGTGTTCCTGAAATACCTATAGCCAACACCCTTGCTTTCTTCTGCACAGCCAGCCACTTTCCTCCGGTACCTCTGCTACCTTGGGAAGCAGGGAGGGCAAGGCAGCATCACAGAGGGTTCTCACCAGTCACACACTGCCCAGGAGAACCACATCGCAAGATAATGTGGGCCTAGTGTGTTATTTACCAGAGTTGATGTTTATTAACATAAGCAAACCAAATTCTTTGCGTTAATACCCAGTTTCCTCATCTACACAGACAAACGGCAGGTCTGTGTACAGCTGGTGGGAGTGTTTTCACGTGGCTGTCAGGGGGTAGCAGAAAGGAAACAGTCAATAACATAAAATCTAAATGGAGAAAGGGGAGATGAGTGGTGGACAGCTGGGTGGAGGGACAATGTCCAGAAGAGACAAAGGGGCAAGAGATGGGAGTAGATGAGGGAAAGTGGGGTAGGCCTCAACAGCTCACGCCACAGGGCAGGAGCCTCAAGCAGCTGGACCAGTCCCAGCAGTACGCTGTCAGCATCCAGGGACAGCAAAAGTACAGAGGCTGCAGGGCTAATACGTGGCTACCTGCTGCTCACAACAACACTACAGCTGCTCGCCCTCCTAGAACCCACCAGGGTCTTCCATAAGATCACGTGCCCTGTGGGCTACAGAGGATCCATATTCGGAGCTGCCTCTGTGGACACAGGCCACTGACCCTGAAAGGCTAACCAGCCCATAAACGGGAGGTTCTCAATCCTGGTTCCAGATCCACCACAGGTGCCAAAAAGCAAACAGAAACAAGAGCTAATAAACTCTGAGTCAAAATGAGGTAAAAACGCAATTTAAACATTAAAGTTTAATTTATATAAATAAAAGAAAATGCACTACTTAAATAATAATTCATCTGGGTCCTCTTGGATAATACAAAATTCTTCCATGGGCGCCTGATCATTTTGAGGCCAGCAACTCTTCTCACATGTGTAAATTAGAATGGTTCCGAATTCCACAGAAAGATCTGAAAAACACAACATAACCAGG